TATATATATATATATATATATATATATATATATATATATATACATGTGTGTGTGTGTGTGTGTGTGTGTGTAAAATTTGATTGTTTTCTATTTTTATTTTACCAATCTGGAAACATGTTTCATAAAATTTTTACATTTAAATATGTATATGTACATTTCCAATTTAGCATTAAACAGGATCTTTCTACTTAGCATAAGGTTTGTATTTTTGATTGAGGTCTAGCTTAATGGTCCACAGGAAATGTGCCTTATGATCCATAAAATATCTCCTAACTAAAAATAAATGTATGACCTATTCTCCAAATTTAGGAAGCCAACAATGGGTTAGCTTTTTGGATATCAATCTTCCAATGTCTTTACAATAAGTAATTTTTTTGTGTGTGTGTGTCTTAAATCAGTCTGGAAGCAACAGACCTCAGCTTTTAGCCCGATGTGTGTGTGAATGAATAAAAAATGAACAATGAATGAAGCTGAGAACACTCTTCTGCGACCATCTTTATTCAATTCTTCCTTGCAGTGCTTTGAAAAGAGATAAAAGCTAATTAACCAACCATAATGCTTTAATCTAATTACCAAAACATAACTTTGATATTAGACGACTGCAGAGTGGTTGCTAGACAATACACAGAGAAAGCAGTAAAATGTCCTCTTTATTAATTTCCCCGTCCTGTCAGTCACTCACAGCTCAGTGAATAAGCCTTGTGCCAGAAATGTTCTGATTAGAAAGTGGGTAATCCTCTGCAAAAAAAAAGAAAAAAAAGTGCCTTTTAATTTGGATAATTTAGATACCGCTCTTTGGGTCAAGGTGTGTTCATCACTGTAGCTTCCCCGTGTAAATCCATTAAATGATACAGAAGTGAAAGACAAGAAAATCTGACTCTCAAATGACAATAAGCATGCATTACAAATGAATACTTAAAAATAAATTAACATGAACGTAGGTGTAGCAGTGGCATACTATTAGAAATTACAACGAGAATATCCGTGCCAGCAACTTAGATAAAGTGCAAGTGAAGAAGCACAATTGCAGAATGTTATTAATACGGTCTTTGTATTGTGTGCATTAGAGCTTCTGTAGCCTCCCGATGTTACTCGACTGGGACAATTGAGATGATAAATATAAAGAGGCTTAATATTAAAACAGCTCTTGTGGTAACTAACCGCAAGAGCTGTTTTAGATGTATAGGACAAAAGTGATCATTTACATATAATATAAAAAAAGAGATTTGAGACACTTTGCGGAATAACTGATTTGTTTGCAAAATTGTTCGAAAGATAGATATTTATAAATGGCATATCACACATTTTTATATATATATTCTACCCCAGTCTTAAATTGTGACATTGAGTGATGTTGTATATACAGAATTTTATTTTTAAAATCCAGTCACACCTCAAATCAGCTCAGATCTTCAATCATCTGATATCATCTTTCACCCAGTAAGATAAAACAGAGATACTTTACCAGTGCAAATACGACAAAAGACATAAAGGGAAAAGTAACGACAAAGATTTAATGAAATGAAGAGAACTGTCGCGATTGCTATCAATTTGTTTTCTTTCTCAAGTGTTTGAATATGGTATCATTTGTGTTGTGTTTGCAGGGCAATATTTGGAGGTCACTGGGGTTTCTTACAAAGATAACAGAAATGTGTTTGTTGTATTTTGTCTCCTTTTCCTCAGAGGGAAAATAACTTTCATCTTCCACTTTTCAAAAACAGGAGAACAGATGGCATGTAAATATAAAAAAGTTAATAGAATATAATAAAATGTTCTAAAAATATGTATAAACCCAGCATTAAGTTGTATGAATAACTGTAAAACCAGCAATTTGTGAAAGTACAATGATTATTTTCAAATACAGTAACTGTAAAATTCGGCAATTACGAAATATTTTTGACAGCTAATATATTTTTGAGATCCGAGAGAAGACAAATGTGACAGGGCATTAAAAAAAACAAAAACAAAACAGAAGTAAGCCTACCCAGAGGTGTTATTTACACATTCTGAAAATGTGGATTCTAAGTTTCTAATGAAGTAAAAGAAAAAAAAAATCATGGAAGTTATGATTGTTTGAATGTTGGCACAATGTGAACAAGATTAGTGAGAAAACCAGATTTGAAAAAAAATACCCTCAGACCTGATCCACTATTTGGCGGCGTTTACAAAGTCTTTTCATTTAAATGACTTTGTAATGACCTCACATCCCAGCATCGGCTGTCAACTGGTATGACTGGGAAGGTGTACAGACCAAAGAGAGCTTTGGTCTGGCTTATCTGGTTAGAATACAGTTTTTCTTTTAAAAGTTTTCATCCTTTGTCCCATTTTCTAATAGGCCTGTGAGCTTCTATCTTGTGAACTTTTGTCATGGAGTCGTCTGGACCCTGAATTTAGGTGGAATTAAACCAGACATAAATTCTAAAATGCATGTTAAACACTTTTTTTTTTAAATCAGCCCAAAGAAATCCTGATATAAATAATTATTTTTATTTTAAGTGTTACTAGATGCAATAACTGCACCCCGGTATGGCACGCTCAGCAGAGCTGCAGGTCCGGGTTGGGCTGGATCAGATCTGCATGTTGGCGTCGTTGTGCAAGTTTGCACAACAGGTGATGCTGAAAAACGTGCAACAAGATCAATGAAATCCATCATATTATGTGCGGGTCTTGATTACATTGCACAAAAAATTCTCGAGTGCCATGTACCGTAATCATCTTCTAAAAATAATAAAAGTTCAGAAACTCACCTCATGAGAAACTGAAAAGGTGTTGTCATCTCATGTCTTGTCACTCACTCTTCCTGCTGCTAAAGAATCGACCTGTGTTGAAGTAAGGGACTTAAAAGTCGTCACATGTAGGCCTCAATTTTTTTTAAAAAAAAGGAATCAAGCTCAGTTTATCTCAGAGTCTTGTCCTGGATGGAAGCACATTTCTTTCTGTAAATGTTTGCTGGTGTGTTCGCAGGAATTTTGGTAAAATTCTGCATTCCTGATTTTATCTCGACGCTTTCTTCACGTACACAATTCTAAGCAAAATATTCTAAGGTCTTCCGGTATTTTAAAACTCGTGCTTTTTGTTTGTTTGTTTTTTTCTTAATTGGTCAGGCTCACATTTTGCTCTTAAAGTGATGCTTTTGGGTCACCCACTGTTGTGAAGTTGACATTTTCCATTGAGCTCCTCACTGTGGAAAGCTGGGGTTCAAATTTGTTTCGGAAGCGTTGACATTTACAACTCTTTTCTGATCTTTTGAAATCTCCTTTGTCATTGCCAGGATGTTGTTTCCTCCCCCCCCCCTAACTTAAGTAGTGAGGTTCTGCCTCTGATTGATCAATTTTATTCACATGAGACCAGCCAAACACTCACACCTGATTGTCCTTCCACTGATTGTAAACACTTGACTCCAATTACTGCTTCAATTTAACCACAGGTTTGTTATCTTTTTCCTCTCAGAAACAGACAGTATTTGATTATTTTATATTCTCCCCATTTTTTTTTAAACTAATCAGTCTTTTTTTTTTGAATTAGGCTGGTTTTCCACAGTTTACACACCTCTGTTAAATGTTCAGTTCTTTGAGACCTAAAAGATAAATAATGTCCAGACCTTGACCTTTTGTAACATATTCTAATCTATTGTAAGATATATCTTGTACAGTTCAACAAGAAAAACAAACAAACCAGTTTGGTTATGGGCGAGGTATGGCTAAAGAGTTGCAATAATCTGGGGAGTTCCTCCTTTTGTTGATTAAGTAGCTTAAACTTACCGTGATGCAGAAAAAAAAAAAATCCTAGTTATTTGTTTTAGCACCTGAAGACTTTCAGTCAAACTAACCGGAATTTTGCACTTGCTATGATTTCATTCAACAAGGCAAAAAAAAAAACAAAAAAAAACCTCACTGTTATCAGAAGAAATGTAGCTACAAACACTGATGCTGCCATCGAACCGATGTTCCTTTGCTAACGTTAAGTGCTGTTTATATCCCAAACAAAACTTTTGTAATCGTGACCCAAAAGCTCAAGTTTAATCTCAAACTGTAACATTTCTGTTGGAAGCAACTACACCATTTCTCTTATTTCTGGAAGACATTATTATTTCTGATAATAAGTATATTTCTTTTCCAATTTTACAACGTTTTTCGCCTCTTGAATCTATTTGGCGTTTAATAGGTCCAGGTTTATTTATTAGTACCAGTAGGTAAATTTGTGCTGCAGTTCTACAGAGCAGGCAAAAAAAAAAAAAACATAACTTTAAAGGCTAGAAGCTCTGGAATAAAACTGATTAAATTAATGTTCAGTCTTATTATAGAAAATTATTGCAGAAAGCAAAAAGCTGTTCCTATACCACCTAGTTTCAGACTGGAGGACTCGAATTCTAATATCAGATGGCAAAAGTTTAAAATTGCTGGACGTTAGTCTCGTCAGTACATATACACCTGGCTGGACGCCTTAACTGTGTGGTATCCAGCAGTTCAGCACTCAGCTGTGACTCCCCTGTTACACAGCTTGACCATTTCACCATCTGGCCCAGCGACTTTCTTTCATTAAAAGGGAGGTTAACAAACCAAGAGGTGGGACAAAAACGACAAAAACCAACTTGATATAAACCTTTTAAAAGGTGACACAATAGTAATGTCTGCATAGAGTACAATAACTTGCAGACAGAAACATATGTTCATGTCCCCACCTGGGCACTGTCTCTAAATTTTCTATTATGAAATTTTTTTAATTTTGAGTCAATAATGGTCCTAACATTTTTATTTGTTTGCACCTATTCAATTATCTTATTTTATGACTGTGGTTTGTGATTGGGTGTCATTTTTCCTAGAATCATTTGCCATATTTCTGTTTCTTCCAGCAACAAACTCAGTAGTCCTTGGTTGTGATATTCTGATTACTAATTATACTTTAAACTAATCCAGCTTCTCTCTAACTTTAATTTGCTCAGAGTCACGCCATAATTACCAAGCTTAAGTCCTGTGCAATATGTTTTAGTGTTAAACAGAGGCACTGCTTTCAGGTAATGAAAAAAAAAAATCCATATTCAACACTGACAAACTTATGTATCTCAAGAATTACACTAAAATGCTACATTATTCTTAATGAGTTTTAAATTCTATTTGCAAACTATTTCAGTCGAGTTCACTTAAGCTTCTTGCGCTGCTGTTTCTACGATAATTAATGAAGCTGCATATAACAATTAAACGCTTATCAAAAGTTAGAGTTAATCACAAAAACATTGTTTTAAATGATGATTCACATACCGGGGCGTGAAAAAGTGCATGACTCCTTCCTGGTTTCCTGCTTATTGCATTCTTGATAAGTTTAGAGTTAGAAGTAACTGTGCACACATTTCATAAACAATATATATATATAAAAAATGAATCAAATAGTTAGTCCTGCACTGTTTTGATCTTGAACAGATGAGCTTTTGTTTGAAATAAAATCCCATGGATCATCAATTTTAACAATTACCCCCCCCCCCCCCCCAAATTATAATTGACATCATCTGTTCTTGTGTAGGACAGATAGGACAGATCTTTCCTGAGGTTTTTCAACTGTTTCTCGCTAATCTGTTTTCCTCCTCCCTATTATCTATACTCATATTGTCTTCCTGTGCTTTGCATCATCTTTTACTTACCTTCTGTTCTTATGTGCTCTGGCTCTCCTGTTATAATTTCCTTCATCTCGGATGTTTACCTCAGTTGCTCTCCCCGGCCATTTGCCTTGTTGTATTTCACTGTCATCTTCTCTTCCATCTACCTCACTTCTCTTTGATTATGTCAGCTCTGTCTTTTCCTCCACTCTACTAAATCTCTACTTATCCCTTTGTGAGCCTGTCTGCATGTCTTCCCGTCTGATTTTTGCACAATATTACTCCCTGTCTCAAAGCATTTGGTCTATTGTTTCCCTCTTCAATTAACATTGCAAATCCCAGCTTCTCTTTGCTGTAACCTGGATCCAGCCACATGAATCATTTGTCTCCTCTGTTGCTCATATTAGGATCCTGACTATGCCATATTTTGAATCTTCTGATTCATGTTGCTGGCACTTTCTTCTCTGCTGGGGGTTTTGGGGGGGGAGGGGGGGGGGTCTTCCAAGAATTTATCATCTGCCAGACCATTCATATTCAAGTCTTAGACTGTTGACAACCAATGATGGAGGGGATATGACTGGATGCGTTCATCAGGCCAAAAGACAATGGCGTGTCCAATTAGATTGTGCTGCAGCCGCACACTCACGCTGCTGTCACTGAGCACTACGCAGATAAAATATACATTACTTCAAGGCCAGTAAGTAAATAAGTTTAAATTAGGGAACATGATTCACCACGCTGGATTTACGTGACCTCTTTTTATTCCCTTTCATTCTCGTTTTATAATCGCGCTTGCGGTCAGCATTTCAAAACTATTCAACTTCAGCTACATGTAAAACTGAAGCGGATCGACTCTCTTTCCATGATTAGACCCATTCTGTCAGGAATGTGTGATTTATCTCACATAGAACATGTGAGTCAAGTTGAACTGAAACCCAAACCTAATTTCTAGACCTGAACACAACTAACGAAAGTGATCTCCTCAACATGACGGTGCTACCACTATTTTTACAAAGTCTACTAATGGTAAATAAGGGCCAAAACGTGTCTCAAATGGCACATTAAAGGAGTTTGAATACATGTCCATAATCAGTTCCAGTTTGTGTTGATCTAGCACATGGATGGATAAGCGGAGGGAAACAGCTGACCTCTTTAGTTGAAGCCATAAAGCGTGAACTTGGAGTTTAAGAGGTGAAATATTCAGAGACTGATGTTATCAGGATGACAAAAGACGGATAATCGTCCAACTTTCCACTTATAGTGATGCAGATTGCTTGACTGACCCCTGGGCAGCAGCTCTTTCAGAGCCATTAGCAGCATTGTGACCAGTGAGAAAAAATACAGCCCATAAAGCAGCCATAAGAATCTGAATAAGTAGAAAGTGCAGCTTATGGACATCTCCTGGTCTCATTTTCTAAACTCTGGGTCAAGACCTAAAATAATCTTACAATCAGTGACATGACAGAGGTACTAATATGCCTTAATGAGCCTTGGTCCAGGGATGACAGGACACATGTGCTCATTGCAGGCTCCCACATGACAGAAGTGCTAGTATGTCGTAATGAGCCAGAATTCCAGAGCATAAAAAAAAAAAAAGCTTCAGCTCAGGTGGGCGTCCCAAAATGACATGAAAGCTAATATGTTTCAACGAGGCAAGAGGGACAACATTTACAGGACAGACTCTCTAGGTGGGAACTGTTGTGGTATCATCTAATGAGCCCAGAGTCCCCGAGGTGTCTGAAGTTTTTGGGTCAAACACGTCACATTAAGCTGGGGAAGTTTTTTTTTGTTTGTTTTTTTTTCTCCCCCAGCTCAATATATGGAGAGCTTTAGTACCGTAAAGGAATTTCAACAGGCTTGTTTTAAATGTATTTTTTTTTTTGTGACAGGAAGGACTTCACATTTGAAAGTAAAATGTTCGAAAGAGACGCGACTTAATTTAATCAGATTTGAGGATTTGCTGAAAAGAAATCCTAATAAAGCCTCATGCATCCCTGGCTCTAAAGAAATTAAATCAATGCAAAAAAAAAAAAAAAAAAAAAAAA